GTGGGTCCTGTGACGGTGCACGGCGTCGCGGCGCCGTCGTTTGACGTGACCAAGACGTACACGCCATCGTCAGTGTCGAGCAAGAGTCCGTCGCATACAGGCGGTGCGTTCGGCAAGGGTTTGTGGGTGCCGACCAAGTCACCGGTCGCGGCGGCAGCTCCGGCAGTCGTCGAGACGGCAGCTCCAGTGGTTGTTGAGAAGGCGGCTCCGTTCGAGGTGCCGGCTGTGGATGCAAACACTGCTGTCTACACGCTGTACTACCCAGCACAGTCGACGGCGACGTCCATGTGGTCGGGCTTGTGGAGCCAACTGCCCATCGCTGGAAAGCGTGTCGGTGGCACGACGCTCGTCTCGCTCACCGTGTCGACCTCGGTCGGGCTGCTCGCGCTCTCATCTGCCAGCGCTGCGGTCTCGTGGCTTGAAGGCACTGCCTCTGTGCCGGCCTCCCGTCTTGCGTGGAAGGGTCCGTACACAGACCTCCAGTCCGTCGCCCGTACACTAGTGTTTACGGCGCCGAGTGACGCCGCTGGTGTCGCGTGTGTCACCGTGTCGTGGGTCGTTCTTGAAGAAGACGTCCAAGCCGTCGAAGAAGCAGTTGAAGCGCAAGTCGAGCAAGAAGTGGCTCTGCCGACAGCGCTTCTCAGCGCAGCCGCGCAACGCTACACGCTCTTCTACCCCGCGACGACGACCTCGGTCTCAATGTGGCAAGGGTCGTGGAAGGGTCTTCCGGTATCGCTTCGCCACGCCGAAGACACGATTGTTGACGCCTCGTTCGCGACGGTCGATGGCACTTTGAGCCTGCACACGCTGCACCCGTACATCGAATTCATCGACGGCAGCAATGACGAGCGCGTCACGCTTCTGACGCTGCGTGCGTCGATCGCCGATCTTGCCAACGCCGTCGAAGACATTGTGTTCCATGCGCCATGTGCCGCCAGCGGCGTCGCCCTCATCGAGATGGACGTGGTGGTCATCGATGACGCAACGCCGTCCGTGGACGACGATTGGCACACGGCACCGCCCGTCTCCATGTACGAGCCCAGCGTGCCGGCCGCGACGTACACGCTGTACTACCCGCCGACGCCCGACTCGTGCTTTGTCATGTGGGAAGGCGAGTGGACGCACGTGCCCATCACGCCGCTGCGGCTGCCCGACCACTGCATCCTCGAGCTCGAGCTCTCGGTGTCGAAGGGTCTCCTGTCGCTCGCCACTGGCAACGTCGATGTCGAGTTCCTCGACTGCGACGCCGAAGTGCCGACGCACCAGATCACGGTCAAGGGCAATGTGCCGGACCTCAACGACGTGCTCAAGGACGTCGTGTACATTGCACCGAGTGACGCAGGCGGCGTCGTCACGATCGAAATGGATTACGTCATTGTCGGCCACGTCGAGGACGACGAATTCAGTGACGACGACGACCAAGAGTTCGTCGACGTTGTGCTTCCGACGGCGTCGATGTGGGCGCAGCCCGATGCGTTTGAGGCCAAGCCGCTGCCGAGCCTCAGCATTGCGTCCATTGAGCCCGTGACGTCGCCGCGGTCGCCGGCCTGGGTCACGTCGGGCGAGTCGAATGTCGCGCTCGCGCCAATCGTGGGTACGCCCGTCTCGCGCAACGCTGCCAACACGTACGACGATGTCCCGAATCCGAACGAACCGTCGGAGCACTCATCGTTTGATAGTGCTCATGGCAGCGGCATGTGGGCACCCAAGCGCACCCCGTCGGCAGTCTCAAACGACGTGCACCAGTTGTCGCTCGACGAGTTCCTCGCCCGCGATACGAGCAAGGACGCGACGGAGGCCTCGTACGCGGCGTCCGACTCGACGTACCTGCCAGCATCCGAGTGCGACTTCATGCCGACCGTGCGGCCGATGGACCTTGAGATTGGCGGGTCGCCGTCGTCGGTCGCGACCGCCGACATTCCCATGAGCCCGCGCCCCGACACGAAGCAACGGGACTGCAAGGCCAACCGCGACTCGGTCTCCAAGAAGACGTTCTGGCCCAAGTGGCTCGTCAACGCCTTCAAGCGCAAGAAGAGCCATTGAGCCGCCATCCAAAGGACCTGCTCTGGCTACGATCGCAGTAGTTTAGAAGCAGCCACCCGTGGCGTACCTACCAAAACACTATAATGGCAAGCCTGTATGTTTGTATACAGCGAGGCTGTTAACGTTGTTCGTCCGGTCGCGACTAACAGGGGTACATAACTTGCTACTAGGAAGCTCCATACGACTAAGCTGAGACCCTAAAGAGAATGTCGAGGTTAGGGCTTTCTAACCTAACCCCAGGCGAGCGTGTGAACTCTGCTGCTACGCAGGTGCACCACAGCAAGTGCCCGGACCCTTGCCTCGACCAAATGCTCAACTCGTCAGGTATGGCAAGGCTCAAGCTCATGCTGTGAGACTCGTCGTTCCGCATCAGCACTCGCAAGTACCATATTTGCCGGGACATCAGCCATCGCTCACCCTTACACCCTTCTACCCTCCTATCGATAGGCTCTATTTACTGCCTTATGACGATGTAGACGGGATTCGTACAAAAGGTATTTAGATAGTTGTTGATAGATTAGAAAGGCGGTGCGTCTACTGGCTCATGACACGGGCCGTCGGCGGCGCAATGTGCTGCGACATACTCTCGAGCGGCCGCTTTGTGCACCAAAACATCTCGACGAGGCAAGGAAGGTCGACGTATTTCTGGCCGCCGTCGTACGTGACCTTGGCCCGCGACTCGATGAGGCGTCCGATCGACAGCCGAATGTCGGTTTGCTTGCGGTGCGGTAGACTCTCGACTACGCTCAGCGTCAAGAGGTACTCGACGACCGCGTCGACCGTCGTTGTGTGCACGATCGGAATGCGAAGCGACTCGAGCGGAGTGAACAAGTGCGTCTTCTCGACAAAGCAGTCGTGGAGTCGACGCGCCTCGGACGTGGCCTCTTCGGGCTTGAGGATGTTGAACGACTTGAGGATCTTGTCGACTTCGTGCATAAAGGGCGTCTCGGAGAGGTCGACGCTGTTCCAGACGACGCTTAGCCGGCCGTTGGGTACGAGGATCCGGTGAAACTATCGACACAGCACACACGTGAGCATAATAAGGAGTCGACGCGGCAAGCGGTGCGTACTTCGTCGAGCGTGTTGCGCTCGGCAGCGCACTGGATCGCTTGGCCGACCGTGATGTTGCCGACCGACTCGGACGGGAGGCGCGTGCTGCTCGAGCTGCCTTCGATCACGGGAATGCTTGGAAACGCGGTCTGGAATTCAGACCGCATCGCGACCGACGCTTCGACGGCGGCGAGCGTCGTGTGGGCGGGCAGCAACCGCTGCAGCGCCCGCGTGAGCTTGCCCGAGCCCGCGCCAACGTCGACGACATCATACAGCGGCTTCTTGCGCGGGTCAGTCTCGAGGTGCAGCACCTTCTTGAGTGGTGCCATCGCGCTGCTCGGGTAGTCGGGCCGAGCTACGAGCCATGATTCAGCTACCATGCCTCTGGACAGCGCGTCTACCTTGGTCGTAGATGCTCGTGGCCGGCGAGCCCATCGAGGACGCGGGGCGGGCGAAGCGCGTCGAAGTAGCCTTGATGTATTGCTTGTACATGGAGCAGGTCGCGGCGAAATCGGCACTGGTCGACGTCGGAGCACCTCACCCAATTTGACGTCCGTGGTGCCAGCGTTTGACGTGCAACGCGACATGCGGCGCACCTCGTTAATTTCCCGTCGCTTCAAGTTGCCTTTTGGGGTCTTCATCATGTGACATCGGGAAAAGATCGACACTCGTTAATGGTCCAGCAAAGGACGTCGCTCGTTGGTTGAAGTTTTACGTGACGTCAGCCCGTCGACGACGGTGGCCTGCGAGCGCACCAATCACAATGCGCCAAAGAAAAAGGATGACCATACAAATGCGCACGACTTCGAACTTCGAGGATCACGCGATCTTTCCTTTGGACACGCCAAGCAGAGCTCTCTGGCGCGCGCGAGGCTCCCTCAAGCACATGTACGAGCTCCCTAGTACGAGACCTCTACACCTCGATCAGTACTATTACCTGTACCTGCAGGCGCCTCTGTGACACGCCTCAAGAGGGCAAGAGATCAAGACTGCGCTTGCCCAGCTTCGTTGTCGCCCAAATTTCCCATCTCTATTCAGTATGGTATCCTCGAGTAGCCACCCCGGTTTCCTTGACCTTCGAGAACGAGCTCTTGGGAGACACCCTTGGAGATCCATAGTGGCGCCAGATCAATGCGTCGGTCGCCACTGGAGCCAGAACATATCTGACGTTGGCCTGTCGGGAGCAGGCTGGGTCGGACCATTGTGCCCCGGGTCACGCAAGTTCATTTATCCGGATGCCGGATACGAGGCAGCAATGGCGAGATTTGGGTTGACGACCAAGTTGCTTTGCTTTGCCCGACCTCTGCGATGGAGCTCCCTCTCGAAGTTGCCGTCATGCGGAAGCGGCTCAACCTGCTGCTGCTCGTCAATGGCGTACGTTGACCATGGCCTTGGGCTCTGCAAGGCGACAGCGTCGTATGCGTAGGCGATTGCAGTCTTGACGACGATAGCGACGCTCTTTGAGCTCGCGCGCACGGGCGGCATCACGTCGCTCTTGACGAGCGCCACGTACATTTTGTACACGTTCTCGGCCATCTTTATGCTCAACAACAACCCGTCAGCCTTTACGGTAATCGCGCCATTCTCCTCGGCTCGGCGCTCATGCTCGCTCCTAGATTGGCATGCTCATCGGCTCGTCCGGGCTCGTAGTCATTCTCGCGTTCGAGCACATGCTCTACTGGGTACTGCGACGACGACCTTAGGCCGACTGCATAGATCCTCATGTATCTCTGTAGACGATATCGTCGTGCCGCCATGGCTACGCAGCCGACATCTTCCTCTCGCTCTTCCACTGCATCTTCTTCCTCCTCTCGGCGCTCTTCTCCTTTACCGTCTTCAAGCACCGCCATGTACTCATCGATACGAGCGCAGGTACGAACGACAACTGCTTGACGACACGCTCATGCGGACTAGTGTACTATGATACTATTCCCGAAGGCATGACGCCCCGCTCGCCTGGCGCGCTCGACTACGACGAGGAAGACGCGCGCGGTCGGCTCTCGTCGAACGCGTCGTCGTACGACTCGCACGGGTCGCTGCCGTCGCCGTCCGTGCCGACCGCCGACATTTGAATCCATTTAAAAAGCGACCGAAGCTTTTTTCATGCTTTTTATTCGCGCTGCAAAAGCATCTCCATCGTACTGTGGACCCATGGACCTCGAAACGACGCGTCAGTGGCCGACGCCGGCTTGTCCGTCCCGAGTGTCAACAGCTACGTTGATTCATAGGCTCAAGTAGACCTAAAGAATCATCGGCGCACCTCTTGGTCCGTGTCTTGGGACGCCACGACATGGTCCATGAACGTCATCGGGTCCTGTGTGAACTGCGTCATCCATTCATGGCGCGTCACGTGGCGGTTGATTTCCCGCACAATGCTATCAATCTACATTGGACACTTTGTCTGCGATGACGCGGCCGTTGAGATATGCACCTTGGTCTGGAGCCGGTCGGCCTCGGCCGCCGCGGCTTCGTCCAAGCGCGCACACGTCGCCAAGCACGTCTTGCGCACGCGGTCGAGGTCGTCGCACAGCGGAATCTACATTGGTACATCAGTAACGAGCATGCCCAACAAGACAGCATCGTACTTCGACATGGAAGCGCTGCTCGTCGATGACGAGATTTTCTTGGAGTGTGCCGAGCCTAAGGACATTCAACTGTGTCAGGATGACATGCCCAGGTAGTCGGACGTACGGCAGCTGGTACTCGGCCGTGAACGGCAGCGTCGGCGTCAAATGCTTTTGGAGCTGCGCCGCGAGCGACTGGAACGGCATCTCTTTGCACTCAAACACGCGCTCGAGCGCGTCGTCGTTCACGATGACGCGGCAGTCGTCGATGTGCAGGAGGTCCTTCATCTTGATATAGTCCCACGCCGCCTTGAGCACGTCCTGGCGCGTCTGGGCCTCGGGCGATGCGTGCGCCAGATGCGGCGCCAGCGCAGCAAACAAGTCGGACGAGAGGTTGAAGCGCTCGGGGGAGAGCTGCCGCACGAGCTGGAGTCGCAGCGTGTGCTCCGAGACACCCGCTTTGCCCGGGCGCGTCACTTCAAACCCGTCCGACTCGTCACCTGAGCGGAACGACGACCACTGCATTCGCGATGAGGACGCTGCAATGGCGGAAGATGGTGTTACCTCGGTCGTCGTGTTGGGCTGCGGGTACATGCGCTCGTCCAGCTCGACGATGGCCTTGCGGAAGAAGTGCGAGAACGTCTTGGAGCACGGTAAGCCACCTTCGATCGACGCCTGCACGCGAAAGGTCCATTGCCCCGCGTTCTTGTCGCTTGCAGTGTCGGCGACGATCGCGCTCGGGTCGTGCGAGTACGTCATTGTCACCACGAGCGTGGCCTTGGTCATCTACACACAAGAGCATCGGCGAAAGCACTTGTGGCGCTGGCTACCTTTGGCGGTGCTTGCGCGAGCGCCTCGAGCCGCCGAAGGTTGCGGTGGATGGTGCCCGAGACGTGGTCGTCCATGGCCTTGAGCTGCTTCAGCGTCGCATACTGCTCGGGGTCAACCGAACCGACCTACGCTCCATGAGATGCTGCCATGGGTGCCATGGGCCATGGGCGCACCTCGCGAAGCAGCGCGACCGCCCTCCGCTTGCGGCTGCTGCTCTCCTCGGCCATCGCACCTGGTTTCCGTAATCCGGAAACACATAAATATTATCCGGACCTCCGTCTTGCAGTTTCGCGCAAATGGCCGAGCCCGCGGATACGACGGGGCTCCTCGAGCAGACGACCGCGGACCCGCGGAAGCATGGCGGACGATCTTCGCCGACGCATGGACTCTGCTGCGTGAGGTCGATGCAGGGAGTATGCTGTGGCTGGTCGACGCATGGCGGTTCCTGCGCGAGCATGCAGCTGGTCGCGAAGGGGCTGCAGCTCCTCGAGCGGTCTCGGGTCCTGCACCTTGCCGCGCTGGGCCTGCGCCCCCGGCCGCAGCACCTGCCCAAGCCTCGCGACGGTCTTCTTCTCCATACGTACATCCCGCAGATACGCATTCTTGGCACCGACGCGCTTCGGAACGACCCGATGGTGGTGCACCCGATCGTGCTTGTCCATCTCGTCGACGTCTCGACGGGCTGCTACCTCATGAAGTTCGACCGTCAACGACCAGGTGTCCATGCGCTAGAGCCCGTGACGATGCTCCAGGGCGCGCTCAAGAAGCATACGATGTGCGACTACATCTTGCCGATCGCGACGCAGCCGTGTCCCTTGTCACCCAACGGCCAAGGTAGAGTTCGGCTGCCCCTACGATGGCATCCACCCCGCGCTAGACAACCCAACGTGGAACGAACTCCTGCTCGTCAACGACGCCTACTCGCATTATCTCCGGCCCGAGACGCTCCTGCTGTTTGAGGTGGTCGACTTTACGCCGCAAACGAGTCTGCTCCCGGTACCTAGCTTCCTACACACTTTGTTAGCTTGGAACTTGGCGTTATCTAGGGCAATGCGAGCTATTACACGGTCGCGTGGGGCTTTTGCCGACCGCAGAGTCCACTCGGCAGCTACAACATTCCTCTCGCGCCCGACGAGACGACGACCCATCGCATTCAGCTGTACGAGTACCAGCCAACGTCGTGGCTCATCGACACGCAGACCAAGCGCATGCGACCAGACACGAATGCGCCGCCCCAACCACCCGTGTACTTTCAGTATCTACGCTATCGGCGGCAGTCGTACCCGTGCACGCTCCACGTCTCCTTTGGCATGCAGC